ACCCAAAATGCTGTCGAAACTCTCATTTATAATTGTCAACACAGCCTCTATAGTTCTCAACTGGGAAAGAGGCAGAGTGGAGGTGCTGAGATGCCGATTCTCACAGAATATTAGAGACTGTTCTCATGCGCTGTCTGTAAAGTAGTGCACCAGAATTCATATGTAACAAACACAATCACAAAAGCTGTGATCATGTGACCACCAATGCACTGACAGGAGTAAAAAAAATAAGTTGTGTTGAGATTTAAACTCTGGGTAAGGAGGCAGGTTGGGGTGCAGGATGGGTCAAACAAACACAATGTTTCCTAAGGACACCGGTGTTCTTGTCCCAAGCAAAACCGACTGAACTCTGGGTTATTTTAATGTGCATTGTCACGTTACATTGAGTACGTAACTTTAACTTAAGTACGTAACCTTATGTCATGTGAAAGTGCCCAACCATGATTTTTTTTCCCACTAATCCTAACCTACGTAACTTTAATTTCCAAAATCTTAGCTATATAATTCTACAATAAGTACATAATTTCTGTAATGTGATGACGCCCAACCCTGATTTTTTTTTTTCTTAATCCTAACCCTACGCAACTTTACTTTCCAAAACCTAAGCTACATGATTTTACGTTAAGTACATATATTTATGTAATGTGATGACACCCAACCATGATTTTTTTCCTAATCCTAACCTAGATAATTTTACTTTCCGAAACCTAACCTACGCAATTTTACTTTCCTAAACCTATGATACATCATTTTATAATTAATAAGTAATTTTATGTCACGTGAAGACGCCCAACCATGATTTTTTTTTCTTAATCCTAACCCTACGTAACTTTACTTTCCAAAACGTAAGATACATAACACACGTATATTTGTGAAATGTGATGACACCCAACCATGATTTTTTCCTAATCCTAACCTAGATTATTTTACTTTCCGAAACCTAACCCTAGCAATTTTACTTCCCTAATTTACTTTTCTCATCCTAAACCACATAACTTTACTTTCTGAAACCTAAGCTTTGTAATTTTACGGTAAGTTCGTAATGTTATGTGATGATGATAACTGCCATGATGTCAGCAAATTCTGATTTTTTTTTTTTCCTAATCCTAACCTAGGTTATTTTACTTTTCGAAACCTAACCTATGTAATTTTACATTAATCACATGGCATGACGAAGGCCAACCATGATTCTTTTCGTAAACCTAATCTAACAGGTAAGGGCGCTAATTCGTTAGTCCCATACGTCCCATTGTGTGAAGGTATGATGAACATTATCACGTGAACTCTGTGTTTAGGGAAATGTAGTAGGTAATTTACGGTGGAATAATACTTGAAAAATTACGGACATTCGCATCACAAATGATTAAATATTACAAATTAATATACGCCCCAAGGTAATACTCATGCAGTGTGAAAAGGGCTTAAGAGTAAAAATATGTACTTTTGTAGTGTTTACTGAGGAAAACACTCAAAAACTACAAGTCAATGCTTAAGTGGCTGTAGAAGTTATCTTGGAGTTTTGGAGGAAGAAATACTGTGATATTGAGTTATAAAGTCTGCAGAAGGTGGAAGTCCAGGTGGTTGGATGAGTCAACAAAAGTTGGATTTTGATAAGGGGAGGCAACCAATCGTCTTCCATTCTCTACAGTCGATGCTGATTTATTTTTACCAAGACATTTTGGAGAAAAGCAGGATTGGACCCAAATGCCGATAACAGATGAGTAGGCAGCGGGACAGGAATTCAAATATTTATTTTTAAAAAGGCTCACAGGCTACAGTCCCAATATCAGGAAACATGCAACAGAAGTCCAAACAAAAGATGAAGACAAACTAACAAAGAACAAAAGAAACTTGGCAGGGATGAGCAGGGGATTACTAATTGGGGGAGTGAGAACAGGTGAGCAGGCGGGAAGGTGGCTGCAGGGCTGATGAGAGACAGGTGAAACTAATCGGGGAGGGGCAGACAATCAAAACAGGCGAGAAAACACACAAGGGCAGAAAGTGAAGTGGTCTGAAATGAGACGAGAGAGACAAAATAAAAGAGGAAACACCAAGAATGAATGTTAAATGAGTCAAACAAAGGAAAAACATGACCTCATGAGCGGAAGGACAGATCATGACACAACAATTGTTCCAAAACATTTAACAAGTCACTTTTGTACCCAACAAAACACAGCGGCATCACATCAGAAACGCTTATATGTCTCATTCTGGAGGATAATTAAAAACTGTGTATTGTGTTGTTTAATTTGGAGGACAGAGAAGCCGTTAGTGAAACCAGCCGTCACATTCCTCCTGTCAGAAATGTGCTGTGTTTGTGTAATGCTCCTCGGCAAAGATTTCAGTGCCCTCTGTCTCATTTCACCCTGTGTGTGTTAAACGGAGCATGATTGTTTACCAGCTTATTTCTGGTTTAAAAAAAAACGGCGCCCATCACATCAGAAAAAGACACTCAGCGACAGGAAGGAGCTGTACTTGGATCACACATGTTCGTGCTTGCCACCGCATGGTCCTGAACAACTACAGACTCAAGTGTTGAGCACTCTTTCAAAATTTCCGAGGACCTCCCTCCTTCAGGGTCTCAGTAGTTCTGTCACGGGTGGCAAACGGCGTCTACCCTGGGAGCAGCCTGGGCCACTTTGTCAGCGCCAGTCCTCGCTTTAAGCAGCAGCAGCCAAGCAGATGAATAATTAACGCCTGCATTCTGTACTTTGGTGAATTTTAAAGCTGTATTCTGCAGAGGCTCTAAATGGCAGAGGGAGGGCGCGTTAATCATTCATGGGCTGCTTTTACCCGCTTTGCTTAAGGTCACTGTCCTGAAGGCAGCTGGGCAGAAGGAACGCAGAGAAAGAGGAGTGGGAGAAGACGGGCGGCGTGGCCGAGTGGATTAGCTGGTTTCCCATCCCTTTTGTGAGTCTGTGGCGGAAAGGGCTCAGCTCAGACACACATGAGGAAATGATGCCAAATAAATGTTAGAACCTCCGGTTATGTCTGTGAACTTTACTGGTATGAATATTTGAGGTGGGACTTATGAGTTTACTTTCATCACTAGGAGGTGAAAAGATTTAAGGAACAGTGTGTAAGATTTAGGGGGATTTAGTGGCATCTAGTGGTGAGTACTGCAAATTGCAACCAGCTGAAACTTCTCCCAGTTAGATTTCCTTTAGTGTTCATTGTTCGGGGGGTTTGTACCAGGGCTGAATTATCCAAAAAGGTCTCCTCCTCTCTAAAACAAACTGACCAGGTGATTAAAACTGGAAAAACACTGAATAAAGTAGTTTTATGTTGCAACGATGTTCTGCATATCGCAGACCGGCCACTAGCCCAGCACCTGCTGATTTGTGCTCACCTTTTTTTGTTTTGATCCAGACATTCAGGAAGTTTTTACCGGGAGCAGAATTATCCCCAGAGGTCTCTTCCTCTCTAAAACAAATGAACTCGCTGATTTAAACCAGTAAAAAAAAAAACTCTGAATAAACCAGTTTCACGTTTAAAAAAAACACTGTTTCTTTGACACTGTTTGGCACATTGCGAATAAGCCACTCGCCCAGCACTTGTTAATGTGTGCTCACCTTTTTCATCTGATAACTTAACATCCAGAAGATCAGGGGTTTTTTTTTTTTTTTTTTTTTTTTTTTTACCAGGAGCCAAATCTTTCACAGAGGTTTCATCCTCATCCTCTCTAAAACACATCATGTGCTGCCCCTAGCACACACCGGACGCGTCACACTGTAGCTCCTTAACAGACGACCACACAAAGTAATTACTGCTTTTACTGAAAGATCTGTTCCTCTAACACCCCTGCGTTAGCTTAAAATCATGTGTCAAGAGTTCCTAATTAAACTTGATTTCTCACCTTAAGAGCTGATCTCCAGAGCTACGACTTGCCAAGTAATATCTTTTTGGCCGTTGTCTTTATAATGACGGGATCGTGGATTGTTTAGCACGACCTCAACAACGTGTCTCTCCTCTTCAATTCTTTGTCACACACAAGAGAGTTCTCTTTGTACATGAGCTGCCACAGGAGCAGAGAAGACGAGCTGCTACGGGAGCTGTTATGTACAAGCTGAGAGTGAGTGGGGGAAAAATACATTTAATTCCAGGGACGGCGAGAGTGGAAATAGGACAGTGGCATAAAGGGCAGTGGGACGGCGCATCCAGAAGCGCCAACACTTATCTAGCCACCGCCAGTGTGGAGTTGTACATTGACAATAATGGGGGCATTTTTTGTGACGCTTGGCATTTGCCACTTGTGTGTTTTGGTCTTAAAACAAATAGACCTGATGAAACCACTTAATAAAGCTGTTTCACATTTTTAAAAAATCTGTTTCTCCAATGCTCTTATTGCAAAGGGGCTTCTAACTGTTCTGTTCAAACTCAATTCCCTAAATCATGTTCCAAATAGATTCAGTGCTTAAGAACATTTCTATCCAGCAGAGAAAGGAACTTACAGTGTTTGTCTACCATTTCCAGAAAGTGAAAGACAGGAAGCTGATCAATTATGCTGGGAGGGCCTTTCGCCTCACATATCAATATTTTATAAGCAGCACTATCATAGTATGGGTACAGGATTGACATTTTTCTGTTAGCGCCATATGACAGTGAAGAATACCCCCTTTCAAATGGACCCAGGGGTCGCCTTCTTGATTTCATAAGCCCTCGGGCTACATTAAGGAGCACTGAGGCAGCATCTGCGTACTATCACCTCAAGAATGTCTCTTACATCCAGAGGCACTGAGCCAACACTGCAAATCAACATTTGGTCACACCTCTCGGCAGCTAATTGAGCTCGGAGAAACACACCTGATAGAGATCAAATAAATAAATGACTGCAAACAAACGGTTTCCAGTGTTATTCTTCATTGATTGGATTCACAGTTTTTCAGCCTGTTTATTGAAACAATTGACGCTACAACTGTGACAGTCGCTCAGTGTGATTCAGTCAGAAGTGCAGGTCAAATAAATATCTCACTTCCTCTTTGTGTCTGCTTTTTCTGCAGGGAGCTGATGCCCAAAACCCTGGAGGGCCAGATCACCATGGAGAAAACCCCCAGCTACTTTGTGACCCGAGAGGCTCCAGCCAGGATATCAGCCATGTCCCGGGACACCAAGCTGATCGTGGTGGTGAGGGACCCCGTTACCAGGGCTATCTCGGACTACACGCAGACGCTGTCCAAGAAGCCCGACATTCCCTCTTTTGAGAGCCTCACCTTCAAAAACAGGACTACGGGACTCATCGACACCTCGTGGAGCGCCATCCAGATCGGCATCTACGCCAAGCACCTGGACAACTGGCTGCAGTACTTCCCCATGGAGCAGATCCTGTTTGTGAGCGGCGAGCGTCTGATCAGCGACCCGGCCGGAGAGCTGGGCCGCGTGCAGGACTTCCTGGGACTCAAGAGGATCATCACGGACAAACACTTTTACTTCAACCAGACCAAGGGTTTCCCGTGCCTCAAGAAGGCAGAGGGCAGCAGCAAGCCCCACTGCCTGGGTAAAACCAAAGGGCGGACCCATCCTAACATTGACCCTGAGGTGGTGCAGAGGCTACGGGACTTCTACAGGCCCTTCAACATGAAGTTCTACCAGATGACAGGGAGGTTCTTTGGCTGGGATGACTGAATGTGTTTTTCTCTGAGGACTGTCAGAAATACTGCAGCGGAGTATTAAGACCACTGATTGGGGGAAAATGAGAATGAAGTCGTAATATTTCAAGAATCATAATGTCACAAGAAAAGTCTAAAGGAATGAATGCAAAACATTTACAAAAAATATTCTGTGAATAACTTAGCAAAACTAAAGGAAAGCAAAAATATTTAGAGTATTTAAGAGTCGGGCAATAAAACATGTACATCTAATCTGATGTAATCTAGCCTATGTAATAGAAAAGTGTAATTGTTATATAGAAACATAACCACATAGAAAAAAACTAACTAATCTCATAACATCATAATTTATTCTCAAAAATACTTCATACTTTTAATTTTTTTGTAACATTTAGATTTTATTCTGGTCAAATTATTACATATAATTTATTTTGTTTTTTGTTTTTGTTTTAACTTTACACCATAGCTCTAATATATAATATATAAATACATATATTAAATAAATATAATATATTTGAGACAGGGATGCACCGATTGTCAAGTTCTGGGTAGATACAGATACCAATGTTTAAAATAACAATTTGGCCGATAGTGACGTTTTTTTGTTCATTTTGGGGTTCTTTTGTTGTGTATTCTCCTTTTTATGCCAGAAAAGAAGAAATTTTAATTAAAAAATATATAGATATTATTATTATAATTATTATAATTATTATTATTATTCCCTCTCTAATATCTATTTCTTAACAAATTTCTCCTTCCAACAACTGTATTTTTTCAATTTTAATTCCAAAAGCTAAATTTTACAAATTTACATTTGAACACATCATGATAACGTTATAATGCACTAACACTTAGCTAACAGCTAACGTTAGCTAATTGTGTAACATAAGGGCACGGTCAGAAAGTGAATCCATGCAAGTAACTGTTGCCTGCTGGAGCGATATTCGGGCTGAATTCAGGCAGTCTAACGTGACAGACATGGAAAGCTAGCTTCCTAGCTAACATTAGCTAGTTTGCTAATAAATGCCGCTAAACATTAATGTACCTCTTTGAATTCAAATCCCTCATGATGGTCATACAGCAGCAGCTGGTAGACCAACATATTCTCACTCCTATCTCGTCACATACTGGTGTTTGGTCATGGACTTTCCACGTCCACATACAACTTGTAAGGTACCCTGGGTGCGTTGGTTGTTGACATTCTGGGACACCGTGTCAAGTTCTCTTCTTTTAAAATACACTTCCGTTTTCACAGGAGATTTAACATTTAAATACAGTCTCTTTCAAAATAAATGTCCTACGTCTGTTCAGCACCGCAAATTGACTTTTTTTTTTTTCCTTTAACAAAAAACACGTGGTTTTTGTTGAGGAAAAAAGAAAAGGGTTTGGCTTTATAATTTTACGAGACATGAACACTGCTCTCTTGGGTGAAAGTTGGTGTTTGTTGGACCCATCCACCACCCCTCTCCCCCACTAAACTTGGACTTTCGCTGCCTTAATTTTCATCTTTGTCCCGCCACCGGTTGCCATTAAACTGTAACGGCAACCAGCCTCGTATCATGCTGATGTTAAAGGACTTCTTTTTTTGTTGGTTTCTGACGAAGCAAGTCACTACCCAAGCTCCGGAGTTTGACGACTCTAGAGTGAGACTGTGCTTGTTGGACACTGCAACAGTCAGTGTCTCCTCCGCACCGTACTCCTGTGCTTTTGGTTGAGGCTGTGACTTTGCCTGTCAAAGTTCTAAAGTTTAACTCTCTCCTCGCAAGTGAACACAAGGCAAATATTCGCCAGTGTTAATTTTGCTCATGCGTGACCGTACTCTAAATGTGAAATCGGGTACGTCATCTGATTCGTCAATAGTGAGTTTATTGTATCCTTTCGTCTTGAAGGTATCCTGTGGAAGATCTCCGTTTGTCCTAAACACGTTTTCTAACGTCTCCAGGACAACAAAGCACCGTTAGTCTGGAGCCATGCTTTTTATCTGCAGGAAATTTATGTGACATTTGCTGATAGGTCGATGGCAGTCAACAAGGCGAATATCGTCCGATCCCTATGTTCAGTCGATAAATCAGTGCATCCCTAATTTAAGGAATATAACATCTTAAATGTTAAAGTAAAAGTGTTGGATTTATCAAAAAATATCAAAACTTAAATCTTTTCTCGTAATATTGTGATTTTATTCTTGAAATATTACAACTTTTTTTCTTAAAATATTTTGACTTTATTCTGTAAATCTTGTATTTCCCCTGACAGTGTTCCTGTTACTCCGTCCTCAGCACTAACCTAAGCAATACGTGGCTGTTCCAGCAGAGAAAGAAGAAGCCCAGTCTCCCTCAGTGGCTCCCCAGATATGCAATATTTCACTGTTACATTTTTCATCATCAGAGCTGCCTCTAATCCACAATCATGGAGATATTGTCCTCTAAAAACACATTAAGTTGTAGAAGGATTTGCGCCGTATCTCCCTGCACTATCTGAAGTTTTTTTCTTCCTTTGAGTTTGAAGTCGTCGGCTGTGATACAGAAATATTGTATGCAGTGCTTCTTTAAGAAGATGGGTGAAATCACATCGTGTCCGGGAGCTTTTGATAAAAGCTGAGTGATTTAATGCCATATTTTAAAACATACATAGCTGCTTTCAAAATTTAACATTTTTCTAGCAAAAGGATATGAAAAGATAAAAAATATATGTATTTTTGAAATGTATTTATTCAAGAAGTACACGAGCAGTATGTATGTATTTTGAATAACTCCTCAGTGATTATTTGCTCTCATTATTATTGTTATTATTATAATTGTTATTATTATGCGCCCCATGCCTTTAGAGTTTGTTTTATACTAAAATACATGTTATCCTCATTTTAATTTCAGGTCATCCGCTCTAATATTTACTACACAGTGTGGGAACGCTTGTCTCCACGTAGCTTTCAGTGCCAGAGCTGTGAGTTTGTTATTTCGGCGGTGGTTTCTCCGCCTTCAGTTAATGAAGTTACAGGCAAAGATAGCTCTCACTGTTATTCAAGCAACAGCGACTCTGGTGGAGGAGAAAGACCTCCTGCCCAAACTGTGACTCAAATTTCCTCAACATGCCTCCTTGTGAATTGAATACACTTGATGTCACTGGCCTTCCTTGCCTCGAGGCGATCTGTGTGTGTGTGTGTGTGTGTGCGTGTGTGTGTGTGTGTGTGTGTGGAAGTCTTTTTTAAACCCAGGGAGCATGAGAACAATGGCTGAGTTGTGTTCCTAATTTCAGTCTACTTGTATTGTGAGCCACTTTCTGAAAGCAGATGTGCCTCAAAAGACACAAAATGTTTTTTGGTGTGAGCATCAGAAACGAACCTAATATAGATTTTCGGGGGGGGGGGGGCAGGATTATATTACCGTTCTAATTGTGCTGTTCTGACTGTTTTCTTAAAGTTGTTGGGATTTTTAAGGCACTCCTTGAATAAAAGATGTTATATGTAAATATTTGATTCACGCTGGCCTTTATATATTTTTCCTATCCCGCCTCAGAGATGCATGCATGCGGTGTAATAGGACACCGTATCCACAATGCTGCTCACGCATCTAACAAGCTCAGCCTCCTGCAGAATCATAAGAGCACTCCCTCGCTGCTCTCCTATCTCCACTGTTACACCTTCACACATTGTCTCTGCTTATCTCTGTCCAGCCTCCAGGGCACAGTGTCACAGGAGGCACTCAGGGGGTTTGAAAGATGCTTGCAATTTGGAAGCTGTACAGTATTTTAGATCTCCTGGCAGCTTGAGGACTCGGAGCATTTGGGCGTAAAATGTCAAGAAAAGTTGGAGTGCCACTCCTGGATGTCTCGGCTTTGAAATGCAGGAACTCTGAGCTAATATGTATCATATGAAAGAAGGTAACAATACTGAAATAAAGGAAGCAAATATTTATATATTCTAATGTTTAAAGGTGGAATGCGTAGGATTTGTTGCAAACTGCAACCTACTGAATACCCCTCAGCTCAACCCTCCCTTTCCAAGTTTGTTGGATGACTTATGGTGGCCTTCAGGTAACATAAAATGCAGAATGTTATGTCTGGAGCCCGTGTTGGGTTTGTGTGTTCTGGTCAAGGGTCGGCAACCTTTACTATCAATAGAGCAATTTTTGACCCAAAAATAATTCAAAAAAAGCTGTGAAACATATTTGAGCCTCGTTACAAAGGTATTATAGCTTATTAAGTCTAAATTAGCCCATAATAATAGCCTAAATGAGCATTCATTGGTGTGTTATACTACAAAGTTGCTACTGTGCAGGGCACTATTTATGATTATTTGATACTTCAAGTATCTCAGGGTCATGTTCACGAGTGAGGGTAAAATGAAGCCCGAGATGGATGGTGATGCGGGCGCTATGCCGGACCATCGTGGTGAAGAGGGAGCTGAACCAGAGGGCAAAGCTTTCGATTCACCCAACCCTCACCTATGGTCATGAGCTCTGGGTAGTGACCGAAAGAATGAGGTTGCAGATACAAGTGTCCGAAACAAGTTTCCTCAATAGGGTAAGGAGCTCGGACATCCGGAGGGAGCTCAGAGTAGAGTCACTGCTTCTTGGCATCGAAAGGGGTCAGTTGAGGTGTTTCAGGCATGTCCAACTGGTAGGAGGCCCCGAGGGAGACCCAGAACATGCTGGAGGGATTATATATCTCATCTGGCCTGGGAACGCCTCGGGGTCCCCCAGGAGGAGCTGGAAAGCGTTGCTGGTGAGAGGGACGTCTGGGGTGCTTTGATGGGCCTGCTGCCCCCGCAACCTGGCTTTGGATAAGCGGATGACAATAGATAGATGGATGATGGATAATGGTACTTCTTTTTTTGATTTGGCATTCATAACTACTCAGCTAGGAAGAATCAAGACGAGCCACTGCTGTCAAGGTTCGGCAAAATTTCAAGGAAAAGGTGTCGGTCTTCATGTTTTCACAATTGGAGAACACAAGGATTTCTTTAGGCCTACCACATTGTTAGCCACAGGAGAGGGTACTCCTGTGAGACCCTGGCATGTTTGTAGAGTACCCCAGGTTCTGGGGTACTCTACAAACATGGCGGTATATGGCTGAGCTCCAGGAAGACAACCCACTCCCTATGTAGACATGAAACGCTCAAAGTTCTGATGTACCAGAAGTTCATCAGATTGCCAGATTGTTGACTTTTTGGGGGGGATATTCAGGCCTTGACACCCACTCCAATCTGAACCAACGGCAGTCAACCTGAAAGAAACATCCCAGATCCAAAATTAGTCAGGTTTGATCAGTCTGAGGTTTAAATCATGCTTAATCTGCTCAGCTTTAAAGACAATTTCGCCATTAATAGATATAAACCCTTCTTAAATACAACTACTCTTTTTTTTCCAGATGAATTGAAGTGCTGATACGTAAGCGCTGAATGTATATGTTGATGATTAATCTGACGCAGTTAGCAAGCACACTCCTTCTATATGACTTCCACCTCCTCCTGATGAGGGTTTATAGAACAGCTGACAGCCTGAAACAGCAAACATGCCTAACTGTAGTCTTAATATAACAGTGTATATACAGTATATCAATCACAGCTCACGCCTGAAGGGACAGTCTCTCTCTTTATGTATTTTCCTGCAGAGATGTCTCTACTCCCTAAACACACTTGTACTCTTCTCCCCCGTCTCCATCTTTTCTTCCCTCCTCCGCTGCACCTGTGTGTTTTTCCTCGCTGAAAGAATCTCTCGGGCGCTCTCCCTCCCGCAGCCTTCTGACTGGTTTGAGAAATTGCACTGACAGGCACTTAGCAGACGAGCCAGGATGAGAGGAGGGAACCTGTTGAAAGTCAGCAAATATCTGAGGCTTATTCATGCTGATCGTCAGCGAGCTTAGATGATGTGACTTTAGCAGAGTCGAGGGAGTGTGGAGGAGGGGAAGGTGGAGGGTGGGGGCCTGATGTCCATTTGTTGACTTGTTCAATTTGCTTGTTATTCCTTCTTGAGTGGGTCAGCGGGGCCTCTTCAGCGATGGGTTCCTCACAGTAATAAATAGAGACAGTTTTCATCCTGCCGCTCAATCCTCTGAAGGGCAGCTAAGTATGAAAGAGAAAATGGAGCGGCCACATCTGCTGCGGGACGGCGTGCAGACCACCCCTGTCAGAGCGCATTCAGCTCAGTATCAATGGCACAGACCTGGAG